TCCTTTTTTTTTTTTTTTTTCACTCAGGAGACTCCCATCCCACCACTCCTCTCGATATATGGGTCTTGCTCCACTACTGTCCACTGTACAATTTTTCGGACATTTCTTGGACAGTTGTCAGAGCGAAAAATTGTACAGCGGACAGTGGAAAATGCGACATCGCTCCACTTACTGTCCGCTGTCAGGGACTGTTCCGTGACACCCATCCGCCTGGCCCTGACCCAGAACAACCTTGCCCCTCCTGGACAGCCTGTGTGGCGAAAGGGGGGTAAACTGTAGACCCAAAACAACCTTCTCGAGAGGAGGTGTCCAAACCCTTTTTTTCCCTGACAGCTCCTGAATTTTATTTATTTTTTGATCTCGGATTTCGACATGCTGTGTGGCGAGGAGAAAATGTCAAAAATGCAGTTTTCGACACCAATGTCGAAATGTCGAAAACTGCATTTTCGACATTTTCGACATTTTCTCCTCGCCACACAGCATGTCGAAATCCCAGATGAAAAAATAAAATAAAATTCAGTAGCTGTCAGGGAAAGGGTTTCGACACCTCCTCTCTCTCAAGAAGGGCTCGTTTCCCAGCAAGGCCCTGCAACTTGGACATTTTCAACAGTCCTCCTATGGGATGGGATGTCGAATTCTTGCCCGAATGTCGAAAAAGAGAACGCACCAACGCTTGTCCTATCTTGCACCCCAGTTTGTCTCTTTTGTGCATAGGACTCGTGAGTTCTTCACTTCGCCATGCTGTGTGGCGAAGGGCCTAGTTGCATTACTCTCCATAGGCCAAGTTTGGCGAGTAGGTGCCTGGTTGCACTTACTCGCCAAACTTGACGAATGCAAAATGTGTCAGACGACTCGCCACACCGTCGCCACAAGTTGTGGAGAGTGAATTTGGTTTCCCCGCCTGCGCACGGCGGTTTGTGGAGAGTGGTCCTCGGACCAGAGTCTCCACAAAACAGCTTTGTGGAGAGTGCAGGGCTTCACGCATCGACATCAGGTAGACAAAAAAAAATAACTTCTCTGTAGAAGAAATATAATGGCGAGTAAGTGCAACCAGGACTCGAGTTCGATGCGATTCTCAGCTTTCTCACTCTCCACGCATCCGCCACGAAATGTGACGGATGGCGAGTAGTGCAACTAGGCCCGAAGAGGGTTTTTCTGTCGAAAGAGGGAGTCATGTCGGAAATTTCCTGACATATGTCGAATTTCGTGATGTTTCTACATTGGTGTGGCGAGGCCCTAACTCTTTGAGTTTCCACAACCTGTGTGGGGGGAGCCGCTATAAAACGGTAGGGCCCTGATCCCCCACGTCCCCCCC